GAAAAAAAAAAAAAAAAAAAAAAAAAAAAAAAAGATTATGTCATCAGCAAACAGTGACAATTTCACTGCTTTCTTCCCTGTTTGGATGCCTTTTATTTTTTTCTCTTGCCTAATTGCTCTGTCAAGGACTTCCAGTACTATGTTGAATAGAAGTGGCGAGAGTGTGTGTCCTTATCTTATTCCAGATCTTAGAGAAAATGCTTGAATTTTTCACCATTGAGTATAATGTTAGCTGTAGACTTCTCATAAATGTTGTCTGTTTTGTTGGAGTACATTCCTTTTTTTTTTTTCCTTATCTCTATCTGACATTCTTTCTGTACCAATTTGGTGAGAGTTTTTTCATCATGAAAGCGCGTTGAATTTGTCAAATACTTTTTCTACATCTAATGAGATGGTTATATGGATTTTGTATTTCATTCTGTTAATGTGATATACCACATTTATTAATTTACATATGTTGCATCATCCTTGCATCCCAGTGATAAAGACATTTCTCAAAAGAAATGGTACAAATAAATGGTCAACAGATACATGAAAAAATGCTCAACACTGCTAGTCGTTAGGGAAATGCAAATTAAAACCACAGTGAGATATCATCACACCTGTCAGAATGGCTTTTGACAAATGTCAGTAGGGATGTGGAGAAAAGGGAACCCTTCTGCACTGCTGGTAGGAATGTAAATTAGTGCAGCATTATGGAAAACAGTATGGAGGTTCCTAGAAACTAAAAAGAGAATTGCCATATGATCAGCAATCTCACTATGGGTGTTTACCCAAAAGATTTGAAATCAATTTGTCTGTACCCCCATGTTCATTGCAGCACTATTCACAATTGCCAAATTATGGAATCAACGTAAATGTCCATCAACAGATGAATGAATAAAGAGAATGTGGTATATATACACAATGGAATACCATTCAGCCCCTTAAAAAAGAAGGAAATTCTGAGATTTGCAATATCATAAATGGAATTAGAGAACATTATGCCAAGTGACATAAGTCAGGCACAGGAAGACAAATACCACATGTTCTCACTTAGATATGGAATCTAAAACAATCGAACTGATAGAAGCAGAGAGTAGAATGGTGGTTACAGAGGCTGAGGGTGGGGGGAATGGGGAGATGATGATCAGAGGGTACAAAGTGTCAGGAATATGTTTTATTCTTTTTTGGAGTTCTATTGCACAGTGTGATGAATATAGTTAATAATAGAGTATTGTGCATTTCAAAATTGTTAAGAGTAAATTTCAAATGTTCTCACCACGAAAAATGTTAAGTATTTAGGGTGATGAATATGTTAATGAGCTTGATTTAATTATTCCACGTTGTATTAATAAATTATAACATCACTTTTCCCTATAAATGTATATGCTTATAAAATGTCGGTTTACAATTAAAAAAACAAAACTTCAGTAGACATCCTGAAGCTATATTTTCTTTGCACTTCCATTCTACAACCCTATAACGTTGAAGAGACAATGGTCTAAGAAAAATGCTACCTTCCTTAACGATAATAAAACCCGCAAGTCATTTCTTTGCCTTTCACTCTTCCCTCGGGTGGGTCCAGGGGCTAACGTTTCTTGCTATTTTGACACTCAGGCACCGGGAGGTGCTGTTGTCCTGTTTTCTCTCTGCACCAACCTTGGAATATGATCTTTTCTTCCTTTGACCTAGTCCAGCGGAGACCAAGCTAGAACAGTTGGACAAGGCAAAACAAACAAACAAACAAACAAACAAACAAACAAACAAACAAACAAACAAACAAACAAACAAACAAACAAACAAACAAACAAACAAAAAAACTGTGGAAAGAAATTCTTTGTTTCTCAATTTCTTGCTTGGCAGGCCAACGCACATGCCATCCATCTGCATTACCATGAAGCAGCAGAGCTTTCTAGACTACACGGGCATCCTCAGGCCAAGAGGGCCAATAGCTCCCTGGAGTCTGCCCTATCACATTTGTAGAAGTCCCAGTATCCCCTTTTCCTTTGTGTTCTTCTCTTGGTGCCCTCTTCCTTCCCCAGGGACTCTTAATAAAAATCATGGTAAGTCCAAAGTGACTAAATGAAGGCTGGCTCGATATTCACCATCTCCATGTGTAGTCCGGGTTTCAGTCCACGCTAACCTCAAAACAGGACTCAGCATTGACACCCATTCCCCCCACAAAATATGCTTTATAAAGTATTAATAAGGAATATACATTTTACCAAAAATTAAAA